TCGCGTCCTTATCAATATCGCAGGTATATTGGGAGATCGTCGCGCGAGTAAACGTGGCGTGTCGGTACGTGCCAACAGTGTACACGAACCGACCATGAAAAATCGAACCTATCTCATACGCACACACACACACACACACACACACACACACACACACACACACACACACACACACGAGTCAATGCGGCTTTTTTTTTGTGTTTTGTATTTTATCATTGTCCGCGCGGGCAGAGAAGACACTGTATTTAGAACACGAGGATCATCGACAAAAAAGAATAATAATAATAATTATGATGAAAAAAAATCCGATATGTTTTATAGCCATGAACATATAATAATGTGCCATACCGAGGTAATTGGACCATTTTCGATCCATGAGATGTATTTTAATGGCTGCCGGAACCGACGACAATCACCACGAACTGTTCCTCCACCTCACTGCACCACAATGTTATAATATATAATATTTATACTATTTGTACGACGGTCGATAAGAAACGCACTCTTTGGTCCAATAACAAATTGAGCTCAATATTATAATATTATGGGTCTTATTTCGAGGTAACACTCAGATGCAAAATTAAATTATTGAGACACTCTTTGTGATTTGTTGTAGGTCCCACCTATCCTGAAGAAATTCCAAGAATTAACATAATACCTATAACACGTTATTATGTACAAGTGACTCAAATATTGCAGATCTCGTAAATCAAGACATCTTGATGTAGCCCATAATATTATATTATCTATAATATGTGTCGAAAATTGTTGAAGGTGTTGAATATCCTTGCAATTTATAATATTCTACCCATACCGCCTACATGTGTATTATTATTATGCGTAAATTCATCCCGATTATAGGCGCCACTCGCTTGCAGGTTCGACGACAAAAACACGACCAGTGCAAAATCGAATAACCATATTATACTAATATGAATATGGTTATAAATTTATAATAAGGTTAATGATCTGCCAAAAAAAAAAAACCACGAGGATAAACCTACACTACACTACTACAGCAACAGTGTAGTTTCAGGAGCCCATATATATACGTATATACTCTACCTATATATTTTATTATTATTATATTATATTATGTTGTACGCAAAACAATGTCCGACAACCCGGGCAAATTATAACAACACACGCGGTCGTGTAATTGTAATTATTTTATGATTCATAATATGATATGTGTACAAACACACGCGCACACACCCACCCACACACACACACACACACACACACACACACACACACACACACATTGCGATTACAATGAAGAAGACAAAAATACAACATTCCGCCGTGGGAACGTAATATACGGGAAGTACAATAACGACGCGGCTGCAGCAGCGACGGCGGGGCCACACATGAGTCGAAAGCCGCGCACATATATCTATATAGATGATAATAATTCACAGTGCAGTCTCATAATAAACCTCGCGGGGAGCAATTAATATATCCATGCAACTTGTGTGTGAAAACTAGATAAAAGAATAAAACACTTTCAGTAATGATCTTCCCCTAATGTGCGCGTGTATATCTGCTACAGTACTGCAGGTATAGGCGGTATATACCTAGGCACTGTGGGTATACCCACTTGTTATATATTATATTATTGTTATTATTATTATTATGTACGGCGTGAACTCGAGCGAAACACAACACAACACAACACACACACACGCACGCACACATGGACACATAAGACACAAGACGTGTAAGCCGAGTATAATTACGTGTATTTCTGGTGGAAAAAATACACTGGCTGGTATATAGGTACGGGCCGTATGCGCGTTTACAATGACCGGCCGCGGTTTCACCGGTGTGTGCACACACGTGAAAACAGTAATCACGTGTGAGAATTATGAGAAACTAGTAAGATTTCGCTGGTTAACTACATATAACATAATTTACAATATAGGTATAACAACACACACACACACACACACACACACACACACACACACACCTACACACAACTTGCGCATCAGACCCTTGATTGCTATATATTGTTTTCGGAAAAATTAATTTCGGCTTTCTTTCCGACAGTTTTTAATTTGACGCACACGTCAATTATTATGATATTTAGGTAGGTATGGGCGTGCGTGCTTTATTCAAATTGCACATCATGCACTTTTTAACGGATAAATAACGTCTGATGAGCTCGAAGTTGCTACTATTGTTATAATATTAGGTATAAGATGGAAGAATTTTTTAGTGAGAAAACTTTTTTTAATTATAAACGATTTTGTTTGTTTTTGTTTGTTTTTTAATACGTGGGCCAGTTCAATATTAACACCTATAAGATGACATAAAAATACACAGGCGATAAGTCGTATATTATGGAGTTATAAATTTCTCTTTTTATAAAAAGAACAATACCTCAATTAAATCCTAATTAAAATCAAGATACTAACGCAAAATATATACGATAATGAAGTAGGTACAACTTTAATATTCGGTCACTAATTTCTATGTAAATTTATGAAATCTGTTTGAACAATAATTTAGAATTATACCTTATAATGGGATAACACATCATATACCTATATTATATTATAATATTATATGAGTATGAGAATATGCAAAAATATTTTAACAGCTCGTTAAGTCTGCAGACTTCTATAAAGAATGTAGCTTATTTTTTTTAGGCAATCAAAATAATCGTAAATAACAATAACAGTATAAAACTAGTTGTTTTAAATTAATGTGGACTGTTTTCATTTGTACACATATGTATATTGTATACTTTAATTGAGTTTAAATATTTAAAAAAATAAATTATGGTTTATACTTTATTAGTGTTTAAAATATAAAACGAGTTTTATTCATACATCACTAACATTTAATTATTTATTATAATAATATAATATTCCTTACTACAAAAATGTAGTAAATATAAATAAGTAGAAATAACTATAATAACTTCTCTCCATTTAAAATTTGTGATGAATAAACTATATTAGAATAACCCACTAATACTACGAAAACTACTTATGTATGTTATATTATATTATAAGAAGCAATCTTAATGAGAGTATCTCGATTCGAAAAAAACTGGATTATTTTAATTAAATTTTGTGTAATTATTACAGATACACAAGATATTCATCATCAGAGTAATATAGTAATAAATCGTATTTTACATCATTATATTATGATATTATTATTTGAAGACTCGTTAGTAATGATAGTGCGCCACCGTTTAAGTCTCCGGCGAACGGGTAATAACGTGTTTTCCGCTTTAAATGGGAGCGCCTCTAACCACAACAATACCTACCATTGCGCGGTTGTTTCCTCATGAATCAATCAATGGATATATATTATAAAGTTAAACAACACATGTTTATTTTTCATATTTTTTCTAATAATATGGGAAAAAACCGTATGTAAGCGATAACATAATAAAATAATATTGCGTCACGCCATGGTCAATGACAATAAATTCCGACAAAGATTCATCAAGGAAATTTCCTCGGTCGTCTCTCGTCAATATGGTTGCACCCATATGCTATAAAATATAATACTAGTACGAAAGAAAATAAATGTAATGTATAAAAATATGTTGTATTATATTATCAATAAGCTATACGTAACTATATAAAAACATTTTTAATAACAGTCTGCAGACTGGCATACAGGGAAAACATTTAAAAACCATTACAAATATTTGAATGTGTATATAATAATATTATGCATGTACCTGTTGCATGTAGTATTTAAAATTAATTTCATTGTTCTATATCCACCCATCGTCAGAATCAACATCGCATATCCCACGGCCAATTAATCTCGGAGAATCCTTGTGTGTACAGCGCCATGACCGCGCACCCAAATAGGGGAACGATATACACGATAAATACGGTTTACTTAATAGCTGTTATGTTGTATTAAGTGTATTAGGGTGATAATTTTTACATTAGGATAAACTGCAGAGAAATGCACTGAACCACTTAGGCCGCGCGGTGATGACACCGCAAACCAGCAGTGGTCCTTATATCCATGTTCATAGTAAAACGATTAAGTAATATTATATAATTATTATGTACCTACAATTTTACATCTAATAAACATCAATAACTACTTAAGTTTTTTTTTTTTAATGCTATCATAAAATCTATGCTGACGCATCTTGGGCTTTATGGTTACGATTATTGACTAACATTTTATTATTGTAAACGATTTATTAAATATTCATAATTGATACCAATATTAATATATTCATTGACACTACTCGATAATTAAATTAACTAACGCGAAAATTGCATATTATCCTTATTACAATATTAGGTATGTGGTATCTGGGAAAGCATATTATGAGAGAACCAGACGTATAATTTTGCAATCCCATTAACATACAGATACAACATTACACTAATGAAATATAATAAATATGGCAATAAGATAATTTTCATAATTTGTTTTTGTTTTGAATATACCTCCTATAAATTATTACATACTGATTGGTGTTTAAATGAAAAATAGAATTTTAGATTAGTCGTGAAATTATTGTCTGCATTAAATTTAATAATTATTTATAATTATTTATTATACAAATGTATAAATATGTCTATACCTATACATACCCAGGTATTACAGGTTATAACTGTGGGTATAAATATAATACTTATAGGTACTTATACTCCATAATATTTGTACATGCCTATATATACAAATACTTTGGAACTGTAAACAATATTATTTTGTTTAACTTATATGGGTAACCTAGCTGTACAGTGTACTCATATATCTCATATCTAAAAGTTGCAAGTTGAAGCCCTAAAAAAAAATGTTTTGGGGGGATGTGATGTATTACCTAGATGTACAACCTGTTGGTATGCCCACTAAAATGTCTTTCTATATGGTGTCCTCTAATAAATACCTATCGCGGTGTATACATTTTAAACAGCAGCACGATGATGATAATATTATAAACACACATCATATTACAATGTGATATTTTGGTAAATAAGATCTTATATAAAGGTGGCACTCACGTCTGTGTCGTCCAAGAAAGAGAAAACGTCCAACTTGTCCATGCGCACCGTGCCCTGGAACGGGTAGATGAGCGTCCCTCTGGGCACGTTGACGTTGGTCATGACGGTGATCTCGGGCTCCACGTGGTGTCTGTTGTTATTGGACCGCTGTACGCTGGCCACGGGCACCGCCTGCAAGGACAGTTCTTTTGGTATGAGCACGCAAGTTTCCATTTCGTTATGCGGGCGTGCGACGATCCGAAAACCGAAAAGTTTGCCTGCACGGTTCGCGTGCGTCGCAAAATCGCACTTTACGGACGTGGTTGTTGTCTGATTAACGCTTTGTGCACGGGGGTGGACGCGGAGTGAAATTGCCGGTCAGTCGAACATTTGTCCCATGTTTCGTCTCGTTATACACTGAATATTATATACTTCTGAGTCGACGCGAAACAATATTTTAATTATTTGTCTATATATGATAATAATAATAATAATAATAATAATAATAATAATAATGATATACTTTGTGGTTGGCCACGGCAAACACGTATAGAGTCTTATAATGTAATATTATTATTTGGGAGAATACAATAAAAACAAATAAACCGAAAACCCGACGGAAACGACGAACACGAAAACCGTATACGAATACGACACGACCGTCTGCAGTGGTACTATACTGAAGCGGCGGCGGCAACGACTACTGGCAAACGCACGCACATATACACACGCACGCACACACACACACCACCACTACTATTACTACTACTACTACAACAACAACAACAACAACAACGGCTGCTACTGCTCAAGAACGACGGCGGCGACTGCGGGAAGAGGTAACGCGCGCGCGAGACGTCGGTCGACCGGCTATCGGACTACTGAAGAAGTGCAAGGCCGCGGCGGCGTCCGGCGAGCAGCGAGCACGTGGGCATTACCCTCTCCCCCACCCCCGGAGGGCAAGACTACGCCGGAGTAGTGGGCGCGGACACCGGCTGGCCAATCGACGGCCTCAGACCGGTTGCCGGCGTCTTGGCCAATAGCCGTCGAGCTCTCTCCCGCCGCCCGAGGAAGATTACAGTGTACATAGGCATTAGGCACCTATGTGCAATAATATAATATTAAACAAAAACTAAATTATTATAATAATAATAATATTATTGTATAGGAGGTAGGTATAGGTAGGTATGGGTAGGTATTAATATTATAATACAATATGAATTACTCGCAGCCTGCTGCAGTGCGACAAAAAGTCATACACCTTATGCTTGCATGAGTGGATTATCTTGGAACGATTTCGGCGGATGCCATCGCTTCCGGTCTTCCGTCGTTTATATATTGTAAGCGTAGGTACAATAAGCAGCGTATATAATATAGGTTCCTACATTACTAACAAAAAATCTTTAACTGCGGAAGATATACGTGTTTTATATAGTCTTCATCACAGTAATGATATATCTACCTAAATTGTATAGAATACTAAGTCATAATAGCATGTTAACATGTCTATAATCCACGTACCTTGGAACTACAGTTTGGGCCACACCTGCAATCTCACCTTTGTCCCAAACTTGCCAGTCCTGTACATTACACCTGACTAGAATACATTTTTATTTTTATGCTAAATAACAAATTAATTCATTAATTATTAATGTAAAGAAAATTGAGGGATCGAGTATCTACTACAATATAATATATAGCCATGTATAAGTAAGTAAACCAAGTTCTTTTTGGTTATTTTAAATGTTGATACCTTAAGAGGACGACACACACGCATGTGTTGTCTCCGTCTTACAAACGTGTAACATACCAAATTTACGCTCTGCAGTTCACGTTTTATGCCGTTAGCTTAAAAATTAGAGTTAATCGACCTATTACGAAACTTGATGGTAAGAACTTTATCTGTGTTTTGTTGGAAGTTTTTTTACGACACTTCAGTTTTTAAGTGAGGTATAATAAATGTAAATTAAAAATGTTCATAACTCACTTAAAAACTGAATTATTGTAAAAAAACTTCCAACAAAACACAGATAAAGTTCTCAACATCAAGTTTCGTATTAGGTCGTTCACTCTAATTTTTAAGCTAACGGCATACAACTTGAACTGCTGAGCGTAAATTTGGTAAGTTACTCGTTTGTAAGACGGAGACAACACATGTGGGTGTGGAGTCCTCTTAAGAGTATGCGTCAGTGCATCATTTGTTTTCTCAATCTGACCCACGTGCAATAACATATATCAAATGTATGTTTACAAAACCAAACATTTGTAGCTACTTTCTACGTTAAAATGAATTCACCTAAAATTAAATTTGAAGCTAAGAACATTAACTGTGACCCTAAGTTGGGTTTTTTATGATATTTTAATTTTTATACAAATTATATAAGTGTTTTTAAATGGTAATAATTTATACGTATGCTAAATGTAAATTGGCAATTTTGTGCAGTGTTAGAAGGAGATAGAGAGAGAGAGAGAGAGAGAAAAAACAAAAAGTGCTCAGACATCCTCTTAATAAAGATATATTGTATAGATTTTAGTAAAGGAATGATGTAAAAATAAAATATGAACATAAAATTAAGCATACAAATGGAATCAATATACCATCGTTTACGCCGATCACTTCGACGTACACTATATAAAAAAACCAATAATATTATAAGCACATTTAATAAACACAGGTGTTTGGTGGTAATATAGAGTCACACGATCACCACCACTAACCCCTCATTTGTAAATAGTATACTATGTGACTCATTTATTATCACGTAACCTAGTTTTTGTTTTGCTACATCTGCTTAAATTTACTGACTATAGGACTTAATACCAAATATTGTTACATACATGTTTACTTAGCCTACTTAATATTAATACATTTTATATTAATTATTTATCTCACAACAATACTACGAGTATATACCTAGTATATACCTACATTGCTATATAGCCCCTTGATTCCTGCCGATAACTGAAAATTAATTAGAAACGCATAAATATATACAGTAGAACTCGTTTAAGACGCTCCCGCTTAAGACGCTGTTTTCCGTCGGTCCCTAGACATTTCCTATAAAAGTCAATGTAAAAACCACCTGTTAAGACGCTCGATTTTTCTCTATCGCTCTTTTGTGCACCAGATTATATTACATTTTAATAGGTTTTTTATACTAAAAATAGAAATTTTACTAGTTGACGTGTTCTTATCGTTTTATTTTATCGCAGTCATTACCTATTATAAATGCTGTACTGTATTTTATCGTATTACGAGGTTTAGTAAGTGCAGATCGTTCACAGGTATACAATCGTTATTTCGTTATGGCTAGTGGTATAAAACGTAAAGCTCTATCGATTTCGGACAAACTCAACATCTTGAAAAAATACTATGAAGGATTGATCGAGAAAAAAACCAAAAGGATACGTATTGCTAATGAGCTGGGAATACCTCCTTCTACATTAAGAAGTGTGTTGAAAAAATTAACCGCATAATTCAATTACTTATTTTTTTTTCATTCCCGCATAAAATGCTTTCCCGCTTAAGACGCTCCAAAGAGCTTGTCCCTTAAAAGCGTCTTAAGCGAGTTTTACTGTATAATATAGATTATAAACAATAGGCGGACCTTATATAATCTGTTATTTCGATCGGGGGTTCGATGAAATAATATTCTACATTTACATATATGTATAACACCTACAACACACACCTGACGTAAACATGCTTGTAAACTCCATGGAGTTCGGCGTATAACCGGGTATAGTATAGAGGTATAGGTATACAAACTACAAATCAATAAGATTGTGGTTTTGATTTTTGGAATTTTAAGGATCCTATTATACTTAAATACTTAGTTTATAGATGTGTTTTAGAGGCTATAGGTACAACTTTTTTTTTCTAACCGATTTTGCGTAACGCTATGTGGATTGCCATAGAAACGCAAATCAATAATAACATAAAATAAAATTCACTGCAGCTCTATACCCAAAAATATATTTATAATGGTTCATCGGTCCTTGGAGAGGAAAAATATCTATAGTAGGTAGCATGCTTTATTTTTGTTTTTATTTCATAGTTTCATACTATATTAAAATAGTATTTTATTATGGTGATAAAAACTAACTTTTTCAAACGAGAACCTATATTATATATACCTTAATTTATACTAAAAACTCTTAAGCAGATAATTTTATCAACAATTTTGGTGAATCTAAATTTAAATTTGAACTAGTAGTTTTGGAGTTATTTAATTTTGTATAAATTAAGGATAATATATTAGGTTCATACCAATATTATATGCTTAGATTTATTGAAACATAATAATATGTAGGCTATTCACTATAACCTTGAAAATCATAGTAATTTATAGGTACCTATTCATATATATTTATCCATTTTGTAATTTGATCAAATTAAGTAACTACCTATACTAAACTTTAGGTATAATTTATATTTATGTAATATCATTATCAAGGATTATTCTTGTAAATATGAATTTTAATAACCTAGAAAGTCTATAGATATATCATAATTAAAGAAAAATCATCTGCTTAACAATTTACAGTAATTTGTAGCACTATAACCAGGGTATTCCTTTACAAACTAAGTAGGTAAATGCGGTTGTTATTTATTAAGTATATATCTACGTTTAAAAATTATATTTAATTATATATCAGAAATTGAATGAATGCATTATTAAATATATATTTAAGTTGAGTGAGCTTAATGCTCGGTATTGTTAGTGTAAATATATGACATATAAAGTCATGAACTTTGAACATGTTACAAAATATGATTAAATTGGAGACGTATTAAGAAGGCGGTCGACCGTCGCAGGTGGCATTTTTGATAATATACCTAACCTATACATTATATATATTATGGACATAATATTTACGACAAAAATATTATTCAATAATTATAAATATTCAAACAATTTATTTATTTGCATGATCGATGAGCTTACTTTCTAATAATACATTATAATACATAATACCTGTATTGAACATATATATATATATATAAATAATTATCATACTGCCTAACTTCTAAGTCAATTATTGACTATTGATTGGACTATTTCTTATTAAATATTAAGGCTACTGTTTATTTTCATCGGTGAAATGTGTTGTTCCTATATAATAATAATTATATACCTACGCATAATATTATATTATTACAGATACTATATAACATTCATCTTTATATGCAATGAATGTTACTGTAAGTATTTATTTAAACTTATCAAAAGATTAATGACAATCTGTAGCAAGGTTTCAATAGGTATTAATATTTATTACTTTCATACAGGGTGAATTTTAAGCGAATGAATCCCCCTATCATTTTTTTTATTATTACATTTTACATTTATATTTATGCCTAATTTAAGCGACTACTTCACCTGCAATAGGCCTAACCAGGTCTTAAAAACGAAAATATTTTTTTTCCTATTTCGATTTTGGTTTCGGTCATCGGTATTCAATATTGTTTCAAGCTCTGGGATTAACACTGATTTTATAAAACTTCGTATTGTTATGTAAATACAATTAATTATATTTCATATCAATATAATAAGAAAACCGTGGGTGATAATGTGATATAATATTTATGTAGGTGAGTAGGTGGCACTGGAGTCTACTGGGGAATAAATTGTGTAGCACTGCACACATTATCATAATAATACACGGACGTCGCAAAAAATGATTGATCAAGAATCAAACTGCAGCAAGACAAAAGCAGATCGAAAGGTCACGATGACGACCGAGTTTATCCCAGACTTATGTAACTTTTAAACTTTGGTATTACAACATACAACAAGATTGTGTATGATATATAACCAATACGATTCATTAATATGTTGATCAGCCTGAATTCGGGTTTCAACCAGTCTTGTAAAG